CTGTTAAACTGCTTCTAGAATAATATTTTAGCTGCATAACACTTATTGAGTAAGAGTGCCCGGCATAACCGGGCACTCTTACCGGAATCAATGGCGTACCTGCAAGGACAGCCTGAAGGGTCTAAAGCACCGTAGGTGCGTGAGGGCCGCAGGTCACCGGATTTGAGGCGGAGCCCTAGCTAGGCGAAGCCCAGTATGTATAAGTCGTTAACAAATTAGTGTTTTGAATGATTTTATATACATGGGATGGGAATTTATGCATTTATAAAGTTTATTTTAGTCATCTTGAGTACAGCAATAACCTATTCATATTTGTGTTTTAGCTTCGATGCGAAGCTGAGAAGGTATTAATTTTACTATAATGTGTATTTTTTTTTTTTTTATGTCTGTGAACGCTCAATCTAATCTCTCGCTGGACCGATTTTGATGAACAATATGTCAAAAGATCACAAATCGTATNTTTTTTTATTTTTTTTTTTGTGTCTGTGAACGCTCAATCTCAGCTCTCGCTGGACCGATTTTGATGAACAATATGTCAAAAGATCACAAATCGTATCTAGTCGAAGACATTACCCTCAAAAATTAAAAAAATTCCTTCGTTCCCCGCAAATGGGGGAAATCCCCCAAAAAATTACAAATTTAAAAATTGCTCAATTTTCGATATTTTTTCAATTTTTTTTACTTAAAATTGCCATAACTTTTTTAAAAATGACCGAATCAATATAATTTTTTTTTTTATAGATACCTTAGATAATTACCTATCATTTTATATATTTTTGTGAACATTTGACCCTTTAACAGCCCAAAGGATGGGGTTTCAAAATGGTAACTTTTTTACAAAAAATTAACTTTTTCAACTTAACTTTTGAAAATGTTCCGGAAAGACTGACAATTTTATATATACCTTAAATTAAAGCTAATGTAATATACTTTAATTTGAAAAAAAAAAATTTGACCTCTGGACTTGTCTTCATGGTGAAAATGACTACCGTATGCAAAAATATGCTATTTTTGTGAAAAAATTCTTGATATTATATTTTACATTTTTTAACATTATGTTGCTATAACTTTTTAAAAAATGCATGAATCAACTTTATTCTTTAATGATAAATACTTTATATATACTTCTTTCATTCGACATACT